GTAGTTACAATTGTGTTTAAAGTGAGCTGTAATTGTCTGATAAGATTATTGTGATGTCTGATCACCAGAAAGTGCATTGAAGAGTCTCTCTCTCACCAGAACCAGGTGTCAGAATGTTCCACAGCTGCTTAAAATGATACCAGCAAGGCCTGAGATGCTCCAGTGATGGAGAGGCTGATTTTTCCTCAAAAGTCACCTATCATCGGTTGGAGGGACGAAGGTCCGGCCACTGGCTCTGAAGTCAGCTGGGATTTACCACTCTGCAGGGTCTGCTTCTGGTTCTGCAGGGGTTCTTCTGCTTCTTTGTCCCGTCTCTGTGCAGAAAGGATGCTTCTCTCCCATGCAGAAACTGAGTGTTCTTCAGTTCTGAGCTCCAGAAGCGTGTAGAAGAAGTTGAGAAGTAGATGTGCTTGCGAAGAAGCAGTGCTTGAAAAAGAAGTGAAACTTAACTTAACTGTATGTGTGTATCAGATTGGCGTTAGTCCACCTCTCGGAAGAGGGATGGTCCTAACTCCTGTTTAGATTTGATAAAATCTAAAGTCCATTTTCTCTGTCTGCCTTTAAAAGTTACTCTTTCAAAAGAGACAAATAAGACAAATGATTATCTTAAAAAGAGATTACTTAAAACACATATTTTCATAAATAAACATTCAGGTCTGAAACTAAAACAGAAAATTACATTTTGGGGTTAATAGCAGGCAATGTTTCTCCAAAAGGTGTCGCTGTCCATCCCCTGAAAAGTAAATGTCATTAAACAAAGGGTTCTTTAAAATGTGTTATCTTCATGGGAACCCGTCCTGGGAGTAATACTCCTTTTTGATAAAAGTTAAAGTCTCAGCTGATGTTTCAACTTCGAGGTCAGTTGAACCAAACTCATTAAACGATCTGTCCGTTTCATGGGAAATGAGTTCATATTGGCAGTGAAGTTAACACAGTGACAGGTTTTTTTATATTACACTTTCATTAGTGTCAACGAAAAAGTTAGTGCTGAGCTGGACACCTGTAAAGCAAAGTCTGTTTGTTCCCAAGGGGATAGATGCATCTTATTTTACAGTTTAAACACAAAACACATGAATGATGTTTGTTTGAGATGAGGTGAACTCCTTTTTCTGTTTAAGTTGAGATGAACTGCTTTCTGAGATGAGATGTTCTTTTTCTGAGGTGGTGAACTGTTTCTGAGGTGGTGTTCCCCTACACCTGGCACTACTTATAAGTCTGGGTGCAGCCATGCTGCGCCATCACCTCTGATGACGATCTCTGTAAATGTGCTCATTTCATGTGGCGTCATCGGTCAACATGATGAGGAAGTGGAAGTTCAGATGTAGTTTGCAGTTTTGCTGGACGTAGCTCTGCTGGCCAGTCAACACCTGCTCTCTGCTCACGTCAAAATCGGCACCTCGGAGCAGTCCGCATGGAACCTTAAACAAGACGGTCCCATAAACCGAGCTGAGTGGGGGTGGGTGCCAGCAGTGGGTGTGCCCTTAACTGGTGTGGTGGAACCGATGAGAACTGAGACAGTAGCAAAGCTCCAGTAGTTGGCCCATCCCCAGCTATGGTTTTGTTTGCTTTTAGCAGAACGTTGCCTCGATGTGGGCAGAATCATAGCAAGACCGCAGGAATCTCAGCTCAGCAATGACCGCACCTCATCGTTTTTCCACGACACTGGTGCTATCTTTTGAATTGTCTTTTTTTTTTTTTTTAAAGAAAAGTAGCTCTCTCTATCACACAATTGGCTAGAAGCAAGTACACGAAGGAAATGGTGGCAAGGAGCAGTTGCTGGAAGTGTAACTCATCTGTGAAGTGATTCCTTAGGCAAGCAAACTGATCAAGAGCCAGCAGTTGCTGCAGCACCAGTCCGGCCTGAACAGGTCTCTGGATTTCAAAAACTGTGCTGGAACTGAGCCACACTGCCCAGTGCCAACACTCAAAACACAGGATGGAACCTGGGTCAGGCCAGTTCAGGCTGGGCCTTACAATGAAGAAGGACCCCAAGTTTGCTCATGAAGACACAGATGATGTTTTCAGTGTGTTTTATACAACTATACCACATGTTTTGCTAAAAAATATGAAAAGAGATTTGTAGTATTATCAATAAACAGATTTATTTAATGACACTGATCCATTTTTGTCATTTTTGACTATACACAGATTGTTAAATAATAACAGTGACAGTTGTTTTCCACAGGTAAAAGCCACACATCTGTACATATTTAACATTTAGAAATGTTTCTGTAGAGAGGAACATAAGTCTAATAAACAAGTGCAAAATAAAAACCTCAACAATTTGTAGTTGCAGCATCCACAGTACTACATATATAGATTGATGTCTTACAAAAAATATTGAAGCTGGACCATAGTGCATGAAGATCATCAGGGTTGGACTCCTGGTTCCAATCTGCAAGCAACCTTGGTTACAATGTGCCAGAGACATATAATGAAGCCATTCTGGCCTGGACGTCACCTGGATTAACAAGTTTTGTGTCAAATGATGGAGAACCAGGACACTCTGATGAAAAATGTGCTACAGAGAATGAGCAGAGAACTTAACATTATTGGAGTGCTTCGATACAAGCAAGCCTAGAGAGAGGGGCTATTTGGTGAGGATGTGGTAACTATGGAAACTTTGATCATCCAGGTCGACTCACAAACCACTTCAGACCCAGCGTTCCAACATTTGAGAGAGAAACCTGCAATCACACCTAGAGGTTTACGAGGTACAACAAAGTTGCAACAGCTAGGGGGAACCAGGACAACAGGGAGATAAACCACCATCATCACCATCAGAGTATGGGTACCAAGCCCCACTGAAAGGCCATGAGGAAGTTAATACAAAGGCAGCTAATCTGAGAATGAACATGGCCACTGGCCAAATTAGACAATATGACCTGCACCCTTGCCAAAGCTGTGACAAAGTATTTCTGAAAGTATGCTAGGCAGCATGAAGAGAAATCATCCAGCTGTCACAACCACCACAAAAACAATGCAGCCTGTCCATACCTGAGGCTCTACACTGCCGAACAATGCCTCAAAGCTGTGGCTAGTAACCTGAGAAAGAATAATAAGGATAATTTTTAGGTTTTATTTCTATTTTAGCCCTGCCAGTAGCTGTACATCTGTGATGGTGTTAGCTGCATTTACTTGAATCCACCACACCATCCACAGTGTACTCTCATGACAGGGGAATAACATGAGAGTAGATCCACCTAGAGCTGAGACTGAGCAATACTGGAGAAGCATTTGAGAGAAGGAGGCATCACACATGACAGTCTCAGGAATGAAGAGCTGGACTGCATCTGGGCCTGACATGATCCACACAGACTGGCTAAAGAAACTGACAACTCTCCATGAACATCTAGCATACGGAGATCGCAATCTACCGGTAGATCGCAACGGTAATATCAGTAGATCGCACGGTGAAATAGATGTCACTTTTTTTAAACTTCTTTTATTTTATTTTTAATAGACGTCAGTCGATCAATCCATCTTCACTGTGCAAATTGTCACTTGATTGACACACAGGGCAGCCAATCAGAGGCCGGATTTTTTCTGACGTATGCGCATTCGACCGCGCTAAAAACAAACGCGCTGACTCGTAATAGCCTCCAGTTTATTTCTAAACTCAAGAAAGTTCATAAAATGAGTTGGGGAGCTGGACCAAGTAAGCAAAAAAAAAAAAAATCTACCATTTCCATACGGAATGTGGGGAGGACTTTTTTTTTTTTTTTTTTTTTCACGATTCGAAGTGCGTTTCACCGGAGCGGCATTTTCAGACTATAAATACTACGGCTCTGACTTACATCTGAAAAGCGAGCTGAGAAAGAAAACGGTGAAGAACTAAGATCCCAGTTATCCAGACACGAGTCATTTCTCCTACAGCTGACCAGCAGCGAAGCATCAGTCCAGGTGAGTCACTTTAATAATTGTTAAGCACAAGAAGTCTTTTCAACACGGAGAGATTAAAAGAGTTATTTGTTGAAGCAGCTGACTCGTTGTTCAGAGACTTTAAACACAAACCAGAAATATAACCTTCCATCAAAGCTCTCAGGTCTCAATGAACAGTTACAGTTAAAAGCAGCTGCTGTCAGGGCTGAACTTTCACTTTTGTTCTCAGGTTATTTTACAAACATGAAGTTATTCTTGGTGTTTTCTGTTCCTTTGTGTGAAGAACAGAACACAGTGATAGCTGGACATGGGCACCAGTGACCCCCGCAACCCAAAAAGGAAGAAGCAGGTAAAAGACAATGGATATATATTAAGTAGACAGAATGCAAATTCAAATATTCCTGAGAACAAGGAAGGTTTAGTTTAAATATTTCAAGATGATTTTATAAGTAATTTACCATCTTCCCTTACCTCCTAATGCTGAAAATTGTGAGTGATCCATAATTTTTTTTTTTGTTATAATAAAATAAATGTACTTTATTTACAGCTAAGCCTCAATTAGCTGGTTTACTGACAGCTTATCAATAGAAACAATGTAAACTGTGGTTGTATTTAGTTTAAACAGCTCTCAGTGAATTATTTTTTGTAAAGAGTTTGTTTTTTCTGCCTGAACATTTTCAATAACTCGCCAACCTCTGTAATTTTGTGCTGTAAGGTGCAGTTAGTGGAGGTGAACAGCCTCTGAAACTTGAGCTAGCTAAAAAAGCTAAAAGTTTCCAGATTTTTTACATCCAAAGCTGAAAATAAAAATATCGTGGCCATAATTTTCTCTATTTGTTACAAAGTTATGGAAAGGCAAATCAGTGAAGCAAAAAGCTAATTTTGATGCATTTAGTTGAACCGGATTTTGGGGTGTACAGTAATATAAATTCAGAAGCTGGTTCTTCAGCTCGTTCACAACTACAAGTAAACATATCTGTCTCGTTTCAAACATAAATACAATATTTTATAAACACAGCTCCTCAATATTCAGCTTAAAATGACAACAACAAAACGAGTGCACTGTAATGCCCGTTCAGAGATGAAACCCTGGATTAATTTCTCTATGAGCTCCTGCCTGGGGGGTGGGGGGTGGAGTGTCGCTGTGGTAGTCCAGGCTGTTAGGGAAGACTGACACGGGGGGGCTCCATGGAGTTTCCTCTCACTGTGATGTGCTCCCACCCACCCTAAAAAAAAAAGAGGAGACAGTCTGTCACACAATCAGACTTTAAAGTAATTTCAAATAATCACAAAAACAAACCAAAAAAGATTCAAAATGGCACCACTTCATTTCCTCCTATGAATAAACACACTGTGTATTTAGTGACGTGTTTGAGATTTAGGATACAAGCTCCATACAGCTCTGAATCTTTATATCAAATCTAAGTACCCTATTTTCCGCCGTATAAGTCGCATCAGTCCAAAAATGCCTAATAAAGTGAAAAAAAAACCATAAACAAGTCGCTTCGCCATATAAGTCACATCTATTATGTGTCACCGCTGATATGTCGCATTTGTTATGCATCACCGCTGACCACCCGGAAACGTGGGCCGGAGTTGTGCCCAAAATGGATCGGCTGCCAAAATCGTGGCTGCAGAAGCTTGCACGGGAGAGGACCTTAACAAGAACTTAACAAGATTAACACTTAAAAACAATTATTTGCAAATTTATGCAAAAAAAGGTCCGATGTATACGGCGAAAAATACGGTAGTCATTTTTAAATAAAAAGAAACAAAACAGTAAAACTAAAGACTCAACCTTCCTTGAAGAAATGCGTATTGCTCTGCATCTTTCATGCCAACATTTTAAAGTCAGACCATCTTACGATGACAGATGCTGGAGTCGTGCTCCTTTTGTTACAACCATGAAAATAACTTTATGCACAACTCACTCACCGTAATGATCAGTTAGCACTCTGAAGATGTGTTGGGGATGACGCTCAGCTACTACCACACCAAACTAACACTCTACATATCATTCAGCTGAATAACATGTTCTAAAGATGATTAGATGTGTTGGCCGTTTTGGCTCACATCAACTCCAAAATGATTTCAGTTTTAAATGTTATGATTAGGGCAAAAACATTATCATTATGTCAATAATCACCTGAAACACCACATCTATATTCAAACATTTGTTATTATGAAGAGAGCAAGTGTTCCCTGGGCATCCTTAATGTTTGAGCTGCAGATTTGAGTTTTAAATGCACTCTGCCGGTTTATGTCATGACAACATGCTTTTATTCTATTGCCCACTTTTGACCCATTAAAAGTCAAATGTCCATTAAAAGTGAAATTACCCCGATCCCATAGTCCCATGACTGTCCCTTTGGTTCCATGGGATGGACCCCGAGCCGATGGCACACCGTCCCACAACTCAGACTGTGACTGCCCTGAACTTTGTCTGCTATGATCCAAACCTATAAATCACACAAACAAAACCAGCAAACAAGAAACTGTTAAGGAACAGGAAGTGACACGCAATAACACATTTACTCTGAGAAATATTTTATGTTTCAGAAAAAAGAAACTCCTAAATTAGCCATTACATCCTGAAAAAATGACCAGTTGTAAAATCTAACTGACCGCAGGATGCTCGTTTTCAGTTCGTTTGTGTTTTGCAACAAGTACAGCAAAATTTGTCATAAAAGTCATGTGCATGTGCTCAGGACGCTGGCATATCTGTGCCTACCTGATCTAGAGGCCCCACAGAGACTCTGCGCACGTTATTAGAGATGTGCTCCCAAGCGGAGCCCTGAGGGTAGCTGGGGGCCGCACCCTGTCGGTACCATAGGTTACCTGTTTAGGAAACATCCAGATTAGAGATATTCCTGCAGCAGGAATGGTTGTAAAACAAAGATGTTTGCCTTACCGTTTTCGTCCACAGAGTAAATCGATGTCCGCCCCACAGAAACCTGCTTCAGCTTCTGTTTAGCAGGAGAGGGGATGTGGTACCAACAGTCGCCTGCAGAGGGAACCACAACACACTTTATATTGCTGATGTCCAGTTTTGGCAGCTGCTGTGCTGGTTCCTATAAATCTGCTCTCTAACATAGCTATTATATATTTTATGTATTTAGTTAAGAGCCAATAGAGCTGATTATTGATTGCTCTTCAGACGGTCACAGCTTCTCCTGCTGACCTGCTGGGTTCTGTGGAGATACCGATCCTCTGTAGAAAGAAGAACCATCCCTGGCGATGGCCCAGACCTGGCCGCCGGCTCCAACGGAGATGGACTTGAAAGACTGATCTGTTCCCACGTGGAGCCACGAGGATCCCTGAGAGACAAACGGGAGGAAGTTACAACTACTTCCTCTCAGGTGTGCCAAAGTTCTTCCACTGTTTGGATTCTCTGTGGTTTGTCTTGACTATAAAACCAGTCTGCAGCTGGGCAGCCATGTTGCTTTTACAGAGGTTTATTTTATTTATTTATTTTTTTATCTTCTTTTGAAATGTTTTTACTGGAAAATCCTATAAACACTTTTGATGTACAGTAGTCCCTCGCTACTTCGCGGTTCGTTTTTCGTGGACTCGCTCTATCGCGGTTTTTCAAAGTAAGACTGGACATGACACGCAATGGCCGATTGAAGGATGAGCCGCACGATCAGCATGGATCTTTTTATTTAAAATAAATTATTTTAAATTATTTAGCACCTGTGTGCAGCCCACAGCTGCAGGAGACGCTCCCTCCAGAGGCGGACAAGTGGGCGTGGCCGAGAGCAGTGGAGGCAGAGAGCTGATTTCATGACATTCTGTGCTCTCTTAGAGCATTTAGAGTTTAGAAACATTGTTTAGAATATTGCAAGAGTGTGGGAAGGGTTTAAGATGCCTTAACTACTACTAACTACTTGTACTACTATTCCTACTTTGCGGTTTTTCACATATCACAGGGCTTCAGGGTACGGATTCCCCGCGATAAACGAGGGACTACTGTATCTACATTTTTATAGTTGTATCTGTGTGCATGTCTGTGTTTGTCTGTTAGCAAAATATATCATGAATCACTAGAAAAATTCTAATAAGATGCATAAAAAGTCTGTAAATCTATAAATGATTGAAATTTTGAAGATGGCTGCCACAACTGACCAACCTTAGCAACACAAAAGTGACAACTCAGTCAATTACACTGATACTGAGCTAAAGTTTGGTGGTGGTAGCTGATAGTCATACCCAACACATACCACATGCACATTGTGTGAGATCTTTGTTTAAGAGTTTGCCATTAATTGTTAGCAAAATTTCTCATAAATCACTGGAATGTCTTTATCGGAACTGTCAAAACGAACACCTGCAACTCATTAACAGTTAGAATCACCACAAGTTAAGATGGCCGCCACCGTTTGTCAACTTTACCCAACACAGATTAGTTTAGGGGAATTTGACCTAAGATCCAATTTAGCAGCAGCATGAACTCACTCACAACATTTCCTCTGAGCACTAACCGGTCACCAGAGATTTGCTGTGACCCAACTGGGAGCTAATTTTATATCTTTTGTCATGAAAGGCGAGTCCATTTTTATTCATTATAAACATTTATTGTTCCATCAACAGGACGATTACTATGAAACCCTTATGGCTGTCTCCACTACAGGTGTTAAACCTGTTTCTGGGGTGTCAGCTTGCATACTGATGACTCACAGCCGGTGTCAGCGTGGTGACTCCCAGTCGGCAGAGCACATCTCCTTTGTTGCTGATCGCCCATACAGGAACCGTCTCCACATGGCTCTGAGCCGAACACGGCAGGATTGTCACATCGCTCAGTGGGATCGGTGGAATTTCTTGCCAGGGTCCGGTTGTTGTTACTTTACACTTTCTAAGTGGAAAAAGACAAAAGATTTTACCATATCTGAATTACAGATAACTGATTCGTCAAAACGCTTTTATAAACGCACACATAAAAAAAAAACCTTACTCCTATTTACTGATAAATAAATGTTAGAAACCAGTAGGAAAGTGTCAAGTTGAATAGATTCGTTTGATGCATCCACTCAACAGTGAACTCTACTGCCAGAGTTGCTTTTTACAGTACCTGGCCCATCGCCGGCGACGAACAAAGTCCTTCATGGTTTTGTAGCCGTGATACGACCTGCATGGATGCAAACAAAGAATGAGCTGCAGGAACAAATAACTAAATGAAGGTTGCAACTGTGAACATGGTCTGAGTCAGCTCATGCAGCTGGAGGGTTTAAGGAACGACGAGTAAAACCTACGTTGGAAAATCAGCAGCGTACTGCCAGCCTTCTCTGTCGGTTCCCCCGGAGACGCTGAAGTCGACGGCCCAGTCCGACACCTGGAAACAGCAGAGACGAGACGTGAAAGACTGGACGCACCTGCAGGTTTAACCGCATGCTTTGTGACAAGTCAAGAATAAACTCCTGCAGTTTCCAGGTAATTAAGGGTAGTGTTAATGCATGAAAGCTGAAGCTGGTTTTAGCTCCCTACAGAAGAGGATATGCTCATGTGTGTGGCTCTGCGTACCCATGTCCACTGAGGAGATGGAGGTTTTGTGCCGGTTTTTGTGCATTCATGTAATCCAGAGGCATCGCTCCACATGTAGCGATCTGTTGGAAGACCTCTGAAACAAAGTGGGTCAGAAATTATAAACTACTAGTGCCAGTAAGTTATGACAGTAAAACAAAGTGACGCAGATTCACTGTACATGTACGTCAGCGCTGTGTTTAAATGGAAGAATACTACAACATAACGTTGCTCGATCTGTTCTGTGATTGACTCAGCACATCATGGATTACAGTGACCACTGTGGTTCCAACTAGCTTTAGATTAACCAGAGTAAACAAACTAAAGAGCGCATGCAGCCTCCTGCAAAATAATAAAACCCAACAAAGTGATACGTATTGAGAAGAATTCTGAAATACAGTTCAAGACAATATAT